AGGTCTCATGGAGATATATGTGCGTTGGATTGCTATCAAGGGACATAGTTCCGGTAGTGATACACATGCAATTCGCCGTGAGATGGCGTCATAAGAGCATCTCCACCGGTTCCCTGTATCCCACACTGGCTCTGGTTTTTTTTACCGGTTGATTTCGCCCTGTATATGCGATACAGAGCAAGATAAAACAAAACGCCCCACCAGTCGCCCTGTAAAAAGATGCCGGGAGTCGCGATTTGTATGGCGTCGATAACTTCGAACTTCGTCTTAAATTCGATTTTGTATTTATTTTTTGACTAGTATACAAAACATAAGTCATTCGCGATTTTACCGGTAAAAAGCCAGGGTGCCCGGGCGCCCAGGAGGTGACCGATTCGTTTCGATGAGGTCACTTCGAGGCAGCGGATTGGCTAGTTCGTGTGTCCCGAGAGCGAAGTAATGCTGCACGACCCATCCAAGCACGTTGGTCGATCTGTGGCTTCATAGACGATAGTTAGCGCATTTTTAGCTAGAGGCGCGAGGAGACCGTATCATTACCTTTAATTTGGTGCCTTTTGCAGCTCTAAACTCGCCAAAATGAAGAAACTATGCTTGGGGAACCGCTGCCACAGCCTGTCACGGGTCAGAAATATCTTGGTTATAGTATGCTTCTCAACCGGACAATCGATGATATGGTGTCCGGTTGAGAAGCATACTATAACCAAGATATTTCTGACCCGTGACAGGCTGTGGCAGCGGTTCCCCAAGCATAGTTTCTTCATTTTGGCGAGTTTAGAGCTGCAGAAGGCACCAAATTAAAGGTAATGATACGGTCTCCTCGCGCCTCTAGCTAAAAATGCGCTAACTATCGTCTATGAAGCCACAGATCGACCAACGTGCTTGGATGGGTCGTGCAGCATTACTTCGCTCTCGGGACACGCACGAACTAGCCAATCCGCTGCCTCGAAGGGACCTCAACGAAACGAATCGGTCACCTCCTCGGGCGCCCTGTATCGGGCGCCAGGATACAGGGCGCTCGGCCAATTTTTGCTCCACCCGGTAAAAATTATACAGATACAGGGCGATTTACAGGGACCGGTGGGGCATTTCCCCGGTAAATTTTTTACAAATTTGGAAATTTTACAGAGCCAGTGTAGGATAGCGCGGACCGGTGGAGAAGCTCTAAGTGCACTACTAGGTTGCAGTGTCGAGCACACATTTCAACCTGACAGGAAATGGTGCTTGTGAAGCCCGAGAAATCGACCATATTTATTAAAAAGTGCCTTCTTGCAGTCTATCGTAACCGATTGCTACCAAATACGAAGACAACGATGCTCCACTCGTCTGTGCACTTCGCGTCTAGACAGGCTC